TTATTCTTATTCTTACGAAATATTAGTCATTTGTTTCTATTTCATGTTTTGCTTCATAAATAAGTAGTGTTCGTAGATTGATTTTTTTTTTTATCCCTTCTTCTATTTCATCTTTTGTTTCGTTTTTTGTTCTTATTTTACCACAGTATGTTTTTATCGTTGTATCTTGCATCAATAATATACTTGGTTAGTCTATATATGGCATTTGGAGGAGTATTTGCAGTGTCTGAGGTATTATTAAGAACTTTCTTCCGTGCATTTATAATAACTGTTGCTGATACATAAATTTGTTATAATAGTGTTCGTATTTCTTGTTTATGGTCTTTTATTTATGTTGACATAAAATTTTGTTACATTATTGATGCACATTGCTAATTTAAAAACTTCAGAAACATTCCTTCCTATTCTTAACAAATAATAGCGACCTATATCTATTTTTCCCTTTGCTTCATAAATAAATGGCCATGATCTATCAATGTTTTTTTTTTTAACTTCTTCTCTTCAACCACATGTATACGAATATTGGCAATGATCATCATTATTGATTTATATATGTTAAACATTATATGATTTATCTAAAAACTGTTATGGCCATCTGATACCTATTTCAATATTTACCTTGCTTATTTTTTTTTATTTTTTTTCTCGTGTTCTTAAAGTTCTGGCCTACTTTGACTCTTTATTTATTTGAATATTTTTATCTTTTGTACGCCATCTGTTTGCTTAAAAAACTGGAATTATTAATATCGTGCTATTACATATGCTAAAGGAACTATACACATACATATCTCTGTTTGGTATATTCTATTTTGAAACGTTGTTTTCATATAGCAATAATGGTCGTACTCAATATTATAAAATACCAATTTTTTTAGCTATTGCTTGGTATTCTTATAAAATCACTGTCTCTGAAAATCCATTATGATTCTCATCACTAGATAAAAAAACAAACTAAAAATGTTGCAACATTCATGTTTTCTCAATTTTTAGTTTTCATTCTGTTGTGTTTTCCTTTTTAATTTTTTATTTACTTATTTATTTAATCATTCACATATTTATTTGTATTTTTCAGGGTCTCCTACCATTTAACACTGTTTGTTCTTATCATTGTATCCTTCATCAATATCTACACGTAAATAGCCCATATTTAGCATTTGAAGTGGTATTTGCAGCGCTTGAGGTATTCTGAAGAACTTTCTTCCATATATTTTTAATAACTATTGCTGATAATGGATGTAGTAATTTGTTAGAGTAGTATTCATATTTGTTATTTATACTTAATTATCTATGTTGGCATAAAGCTTTGTTATATAATTAATTCACATTACTAATTTAAAAACTTGAGAAATATTCTTTCCTGTTCTTAACAAATATTACCAATCTATATCTATTTTGTCCTTTGCTTCATAAATAAATCAAAATATCTAATCATTGTAGTTATTTGTAAACTACTTTACTTCAAATGTATTGTACTGACAAATACGTCATTCAATAAGTTTATTAAGTAAATCCTTGGCTTAAATAAATAAATTGTATTATTTAAAGTCTGGAATTTTCTCAGTCATTACAAGAACTTTCTTCCATATATTTTTAATAACTGTTGCTGATAATGGATGTAGTAATTTGTTAGAGTAGTATTCATATTTGTTATTTATACTTAATTATCTATGTTGGCATAAAGCTTTGTTATATAATTAATTCACATTACTAATTTAAAAACTTGAGAAATATTCTTTTCTGTTCTTAACAAATATTACCAATCTATATCTATTTTGTCCTTTGCTTCATAAATAAATCAAAATATCTAATCATTGTAGTTATTTGTAAACTACTTTACTTCAAATGTATTGTACTGACAAATACGTCATTCAATAAGTTTATTAAGTATATTGATTATTAAGAGACTGTCATGGATGTTAATATTCTTAATATATGAAAGAATAAAACAAATTGACTATTATTACAGGATTAATAATTTTATTAATTGTTACTAATTTTGATATACTGTTATTCAGTGCATACAGATTATTTGCGTGAGCATATTTAGTCCCTGCTGATGTTTGAATGCTTGCTGTTTCATTTTTAAAACAAGGTTTATAGCGTTCCAGGTATTAAAGATAGTCTTTGCCTATAGCAGTTTAATATCCATTCTTGATTCTTAATGTAGTATGTATATATAAATTAATACTGTAATGTAAAAACTCATGACTTCCT